AACTAACTTCAGATTAATGTCCTCTTGCTGTGTCATAGACTGGAAGAACTTTCTCAGATTCTGGGAAAACCTTGACACACGTGGATGACAGATCTGAAATGGTGAACTTCTGAACTGAGTGAAGTCATTCTGGTAACTCAATTTGCCATTCTCTTTTATCACTACTATCCATTCATATGAGGTATTTAGATGCTTCCTCCACCTCTAACCTTAAACTGCCTCTACAGGTCATCTCAGTAATGAGCCATCTGGTCCTTCCTTCCTAATCAGCTATCCAAGGCTGTCTCATCCTCAGCCCAACACAAAGTTATTCTCTCCTTGCCATCTGGCCTCCATACCCAGCTCTGTCTCAACTCTGCCAGCGATTTATGCCCTCCTGTGGTGTTTTTTGTCTTTTCACTTGCACATAATTGGCCCCCAGATGAAAAAAATGATGTGAATGCCAGTTTTTATTAGTTGCCAGGCAGGGGCCATTGTTTTTACATCATTCTTCTCCTCACCAATGACAAGGAAAAAACTCTGCCTTTACACTGGCTAAATGGAAAAACCTGCACTATGTTAAATTCAGATCATAATGAGTACAGTAAAGCAATTAAAACCAAAAATGTGGATCCAGGTCTTTTAAGGGCAGTTCTGAAATTCTTTTCTTGCCCTGCCTGCAGTCAACAGACCACTGCATTCACCTTCACCATGACTCACTCCTTATATTATATTCAATTCGATTCAGTTCATTTTTATTTATATAGTGCCAAATCACAGCAGTTGCCTCAAGGCTCTTCAAACTGAAGGCAAAGGCCCCACAATGATAGAGAGAAACACCAACTATCAAACGACCCACTCTGAGCAAGCACTTTAGCGACAGCAAGAAGGAAATACTTTAACGGGAAGAATCAGTCTCAGAGAGGGGCAGCCATCTGCCATGACTGGTTGGAAGTGATGGGGGGAAGACAGAATAAGAGACACACTGTTGAAGAGGGATTAATAATAATTAATGACTAAATTCAGAGTGATGTATAAAACACAGTGACTGAAAAAGGTGAGTGAAGAAGAAATACTCATCAACGCAACAGCCTAAGCCTATTGCAGTGTAACCAAGGGAGGATTCAAGATCAACTGATCTAGACCTAACCATATGCTTTAGAAACAAAGGAAAGTTTTAAGCCTAATTTTAAAAGTAGAAAGCGTGTCTCAAGTACAAACTTGGATCTGGTTCCACAGAAGAGGGCCTGAAAGCTGGAGACTCTGCCTCCCATTCTACTTATAAGTAAGCCCGCAGTGTGAGAGAGAAGTGCTCTTAGAGAATGTTTGAGATTAAAAGGGAGGTTCGAGATTGGCCTATAACTAAAGATAAACATAAGATAAAGATTCCTAAACTGTCGTGGTACTTGGGTATTGTACAGTAAAACTGGAGGAGAGCTTACGTTTCAGCAGACTACCATACATACATTTTTACTTGATTACGCTCATCATTCATCCACGAAATTAGATACAATAAAAAAGCAAATATAATAAGATAGCAAAAATAAAAGTATAAACATACATAAATACAGTTCTGCTAAAAAAAAAAGATATTGCACTTTACAAAAGAAGGATATTACACTTGTTGGTGGGTAGCAGAAGTCGTGGAATGTGGGTGTTATTATATTGTGCCATGTTGCAGCGGTGGTGTTTTGTACTAGATATACTGTTACATTTGGCAGCATTGATAAACATTGTACTGAGTATTACACAGGAATATTGCAGACAAGGGGTGGTAAGTGAAACCCAAATAGCTGGGTGAAGTGATGTCTTTTTAAGTAACGGTTTAGTTTACTGCCATCTGGTGACTTACAGAAAGGCAAGCGGAAACAATACCCACCATCTTCCCACACCTCAGTACACATCAAACTGCATTACAAAAAGTTACAAAATATATTTTGCATAAAAATTTTCCCCATCAGTGTTAAATAGATTAACATTATTACTGCATATGTTTAGAGTTGAGCTCATTTACTTGAATATAAAGTTACTTTAATAATATATAGTTGGCGCTAGCGTCCACTCTCCAACATTATCAGACTTTTCCTTGCTGATCTAATAAAGCAGTTGTTAAAAACATCTCCTCTCCTCACTCATGGTGGCCAATGTGGGTAGCAAGAGGACACTCATCTGTTAAGATGCTTAAATACTGAAGCTTGTTTACTTGTTAATGCTAGCTGTGTCTCCATATGAGGCGCAGATCATAGCTGATCTCAGAACAGTAAAAGCTGAGCGAGCAGCAGCTCACATAGCAGACAGGTCTAGCCCGGATCTGGTGTCAAGCTGGCACTGCTGGCTGACTTCTGGCATGGTAACTGCTATGTTATCCAGATATGGGCCAGCCCTGGCGTAGATAGCTCTGTTTTTGTGATGGCATGCAACATCTGGCCTGATTATGGTTTGGTTTATGTGGCCCAGGCTCATAGAAAACAGGTCTGGCCTGGATCTGGCATCAAGCTGGCACTTCTGACTGACTGGTGTCATGGCTGAGTGTATGTCAACAGATGTGGGCCAGGTCTGGCAATGATGGCAATATTTATGTTACTATTTACCTATTTTAGTTAGAAAACCCAAATGCCACTTTGCAGTACTATACTGCTATGGTAGCCAATGTTTCAAACGCAGGTTTGACAGGTTTGACAGGTTTGTGAGTGTACACTCTAGCTCAGGAGGTAGAGCAGGTCACCTACTGATCAGAGGGTTAGTGGTTCAATCCCTGGCTCCTCCACTCTGCCTGAATGTGTATGAATGTAGTTAGGAAGCACTCAGTTTAGAGAAAGTGGGTGAATGTTGTATAGAGTGCTTTGAGTGATCTGCGAGAGTAGAAAAGTGCTGTGTGAGATTCACTGTCTGAGTTTTGTCATCTTACTTTTGCACTATTATGTTCTGGCACATGTTGTTATTACATGGCTTGATTAAGGTACACATTAGGCTGACATCTGGGGCCAGAGCTGAAACTGTTCTGGGCCAGCACAGGGCCAGCAGTGTGTCTGAAACTGGCCCATGGCTGCACACAACTTACTCATGGCCCACATATTGCAAAGAATGACGGCCCTTTGGTGGCCCAGATCTGGTTTGCCAGAGGTAATCCACACATAGGCCAGCACAGTGTGTCTCCAACTGGCTTTGTGCTGGCCCATGTATGGGCCACCTCTGGCAAACCAGATCTGGGTCACCAAAGGGCCGTCATTCTTTGCGGTATGTAGGCCATGTGTAAGCACATTGTGTGGGCCAGATCCGGGCCATACCAATTTTGCTATGTGGGAGTTTGCCACGCAGTCTGGTTTCCCATCAGATTACTGCCAAAGACCTGGGGTTTATCCACAACCCACATGCACAAAGTACAAGAAAGAATCTGCTGGCCTCTCCGCTAGCCCCCAGTCATTGTGAGCTGTACCTGGCTACACCCTCAGTGACAGAGACATTTTTCTATAAGACTGAATTAAGCACAGCTTTCAGCGACGTGTAAACGATGGATGCACATATTAACTGAGAGGGGATTAGCTTTATTGCAGCGCTGTCTGAGATAAAAGGAGAGAGATCGCTTTACTTCGTAACTGTTTCATTCATGACTATTTTTAGATTTGACGCTTGTCCTGACTGAACCTGCTTTAATTACTGCCACCTTACAGACATGTGGTATGTAGGCCATTAATAGAAAGACTAATATTTAAGATCAAAGTGTTAATTAATGGTAGGACTTCTTTGAGTGTGAGTATGATTGTTTTTTCTCTAATTGTTACATTTTTCTTGAAGAAATGTATTAAGTCACAACTAGTTACTGTGAGAGGAAAGTTCAAAAGAGCGCTAACTCTTTGTTACCCGGGCTATAGTACCGAAGAAAAACATGGGGTTGTTCTTCTTTTCTTGAATCAGTGATACAAGTAAGATGTCCCAACTTTAGGAAAGCCTTTGTTGTTATTGTTATTTTTCCTTTGTTTATGGAGCAACAAACTCTTTTTGCGGGCTAAATAAAGATCTTCTAATTTAGTGAGATGCCATTTCCTCTCTAACTTACTGTTTGTCTGCTTTAAGGCGCACGTTTGAGAGTCATGCATGGGAGTCAAGTGCTTTTAATTTGAAGCTTTATTTTCAGTGGAGCCACAGTATCAAGGGTCGTATGCAGTGAGGATGTAGCACTACTAATGAGATAACTGACTTCTGGGGTAGTTGTTCTGTACTGTGTCGGCACATGGTATTGAAGACAATAACAATGGGGGAATTAAACATCCTTAATATAATCCTTAATATCCTTACATTTAGTTTACTTTCTGAAAGATGCCTACTGTACTGAAATGTATTCCCCACTGCTGTGTGAATTTTAAAATGTTATTAAGAGAGTATAGCCCTGTAGACTTGTTCATCTTGCTGACGTAAACTCTGTTTTTGAATTAATAAATGCATGTCATGGCTGTAGATACTTCAATGAAAGTGTTCCTCATTTGGTGAGATATTTTCAGGAGAATTTTTTCCCCAGAGAAGAGAAAGGGAACCTTAATCATCCACTTCAGTTGCCTTCCATAGTATTCCCATTCATTGAACTTGCAAGTGCATTCTTTAATTTTAGGAAGTAATCAAATAGTTGTATAAAGTCCTACAAGTTTCCACTAGCTCTCAGTTTTCTTTTGTTTTGTGATAAATAATGCATCCTAGGACGTGTGTGTGTGTGTAAAAAATCAATTAATTGATCAACAACACTTAATGACTATCAAGCCACAAGCACAGAGCTCAAGAACATTTTCAGTCTGTTGATCAGGTGTTCAGAACGTTGCCTTTTATCTTTTTTATACAAATGATATTAAGTTGCGAAGATAAATAAAATAACTCGAAGCACATTTTAAGCTCATCAACGTATAATTATCTAAAGAATATACTGATATTATTCTTGTTGATGATCTCAACTAGATTTCAAGTTAGTTCTTTCTTCTTCGTTGTTTTAATGCAGGCGATATGTAGGACTTCAATTTCGTGGGTCTTTTTGGGGTCCTTGACGTGGCATTAATAAACAAAGATGGCGGTGGCGTTTACACCTTCGTTGAACTTTACTCTGAATTAAAAACTTTGTAGTCTTAAGTAATTTGAATATTTCCTACATGTTTCTCGTTAGTCGAGTTGCAAAATGAGCGGTTGGGCCGGTTTTTCAGACGAGGAGCTGCGCAGGATACAGCAAAAGGGTAAGCTAACCTTTCTTGCTGCTAGTGAGAGTCGGAACACTCAGCACTTCATTCTGATATTTTATTCCTACTTCTTTTTTTTTTAGTCGTAACCATGGTCACGTGTACTTTTCAGACTCTACTGTATCTGCACCTCCAGTCCGGGGTCGAAAACCAGCTTCAGGTAACCGGAGTCGGCAGCAGTTGCAGCGAGAAAGAGCCCTGCAGTCAGCAGCCCAGAAAAACGTTGGAGCCGAGTCACTGGTTCTTTCACGCGAACAACAACTCACCAAACCGTCCCCGAGGGAAGAGCCTAAACCCACAGCCCCGGCGACAACACCCACTGTCAAACAAGAGGTGCAGCAGAAGCCCGCTATAATGAAGCACAATGAAAACGACCAACCGACTACAGAAGAAGAAACCCCAGTGGTTAAAGAGCTGGATAAGCAAGAGATTGAATTGTTAGTATGATTTTGTTCTCACGTGCACTGTAAAGATGACAGGTAAACTGACCAATATTTACATAGTAGGTGTAATACCAGGGTAGCAAACATGCCCAAGTATGTAAACATAATTGTGTGTTTTCATGCACATGCTGGGACATTCTGTGCTCTTCTTTGAGACTGTATCACAGTGAATCTAAATATACAAATAGATCCAAAATTTGTTGGACGAAAACACATGTTTTGCAGTTTTACCACAAAGGATTTTAAAACAATCAAGACGTGATTGAAGCACAGACTTTCAGCTTTGATTAATAACATTTTTAGAAAAATTTATCATCAACTGTTTAGAAACCATATCCATTTTTATGCATAGTCCCCCATATTCAAAGGCTCAAAAGCATTTGGACAAATTTAATTTTAAATATAAGGATAATTTTTAATAATTGGAAACAGTCTTTCTGCATATTTCTATCTGGTTGTCTTTCTGGTACAAATTCATGTTGATTTTATTTAGCCAAAGAATTAATTTTCAGCAGGCTCTTTCAGATGTTATTTTGGTAAAGTCTACTCTGGTCTTCTTGTTCTTGAATGTAATTAGTAGTAGTAAACCTTTGCATTTCCCCACATAAAAGTACCTCTTGATTTTAGACGTTGATAATGCTACCCACCTCCTTGGGAGTGACTTTGTTAGAAGTATGCAATGCCCCCTTAATAATGTAGTACTGAATGGGTTATCACGTAACTCCTCCGGCCAGGAAATGTTGACATTGTTGAATGTTGACATTCAATCGTGACATTGATTTGAAATCATATCAACTGACTCTAGTTAATACGTCTTTAAAAATAAAAGTCTAGGAAAGTTTTTCATATATAAAGCTAAAATTTCACAGCAATCATTATATATGTCATTGGGTTTCAGAGACAGTCCTGCAGAAAATGTTCCAAAAAGATTAGTAGCTGAAATTATCCTTCTGTTAAATCCATTAAAATAAATTGAAGATCTGCGCTTTGGTCACATGCAGATTGTTTGATCCAAAATCCACTGTGGTGTTGTACAAAGAGAAAACTGATTTTAAAAAAAAATCTCACTTTGTCCAATAAATTATGGACCTAACTGTAATTCTGTATATTTGGTTTCTAGCAGTGATTTGTATCATTAATGTGTGTTGTGGTTTTGCGTGTATCTGCAGTCTATCTGGGTGAGAAACAAAACTTTAACTTACCACAGTAGATGGCTCCTCTCTGCCCCAACTTTGCGGCTGGATGCATAGCACTCATCAGTGCTGTATCAATGTTTAGTTAATGTTCTAGTCAAACATAAAAGTGATGGTTGTGGAAAATAAACGCCTGTGCTTCTGTATAGACAAATCATTGGAAATTATTGATTTCCATACTTCCAGGACACAGGACTTGTCAGGGTATCCTGTCATTGTAACAGTGGCTGTGGATCCTTTGGTTCCTGTGGGTTTCCAAAATATGGCCTCTATGGAACAGACTTGTTTCAGATTTGGAACAGATTTAGAAGTGTGTAGTTTGGGAGACCTGTAAAAACTCTGGGTTCTTTGTCCTGCTCCTTTAACGCTTCATGAGGAGTGTTTTTTGCACCGCAAGTGTTGAACTTTCTTGCAGAAGCAGGACGATTTTGCTAGGGACTGTTGTTCTCGTGGAGGGTGTGGAGCCTTGGTTGGTGGGTGATGTGGATCAAAGTGATATCCGCATGCATGATGCATGATTCTTTTGGTTATCTTTGGCTGTCAAAGCAAGCATATTATATGATGCATGTGATTTGAGTGATGTATAAATGACAGTACTGTCGGTCTTGTACACATGTGGCTCACATTTCATTAAATTCATGCATACTACCTCAGCACGGTCCACATCTTACTCAGTTTCTCTCTGGGATGAATAAGGTTTCTCTGATTCAGATTCTGATCTGCACCAGATACTTGGAAAAAACGGAATCAGAATATCAACACACAATGATCAAAATCTTAATAATAATAATTTGCCAAACCCATACCATAGGGTGCTGTTGTGTTTGTAAATTAGAACGATTTTGAAAGACACTGCTCCTTTCATAATCCTGATGTTTTTTGTTTGGTCTTTCTGAGATGAAATTGCAAGTGCATTTGTTTAAATTCTCATTTTGTGTGATGGCAGACGGGAAAAGACGCGTCTGGAGCAACTTCAGCAAGAGCAAAAAATCATCGAAGAGAGGAACAAACGCAAGAAAGCTCTGCTGGCAAAAACTATCGCTGAGAAGTAAGTGTATATATAGTTTCATTCTTTTGATAGTTGTTATGAACACAGAGGCTCAAAAGAGGCCCCCTTTAAATATCACTAGAGTATCAAGTCAACATGATGAATATAAATGTGCCTCAAAACTGCAACGATTAAGGTCAAGGCAAAAAAACAATATGTGTGAATGGTTTATTATTTTCCACAGATCCAAACAGACTCAGGAAGAGACTGTAAAGCTAAAGAGAATCCAGAAAGAGCTGCAAGCCCTCGACGACATGGTGTCTTGTGACATTGGCATCCTGAGAGGAAAGATAGAGCAAGCCAGTTGGGACTACTCAGCTGCAAGGTAGCCTTAACATCAGGAAAAAATATAAAAGAAAGGGTCAGTAAACCCTTTTCCACAGCTGATGTGAATTTGTCACAATATTAAAAGCACAGATGTGTTTTTAATGACTTCATGGCCCACCAGTACACTTATGCCCAATTCACACCTGGTACCTGTGATGCAGTCACATTAGTTAGGTCACACCTTAGGCATTAGAATGCATCCACACATGCATGTCAGTTGACCAGTTGAAGTGTCCCTCTCCACTAGGGATGAATATTGACAAATTTCCTTGATCCCAATGCAAGTGGCTGAAGATAAACATGGAAATGCCAAAACTGCAGTTCCTCCATTCAGCTGTTTTTGTTCAACTGCTTATCACCTGACAGTAACTCTGCGCTACAGACCATCCAAGAATTTTGTGCTAGTTTTTCCTGAGTGAATTTTTAATGATTTTTATTAGTCTTCTACATCGTGCTGATTAGCAGTACTGTGTATGTGAACCTCTGTAGTGAATCTGCACAGTTTAAAAAGGCAGACTGCTAAATAAACTTGCTAGTGTTATCCCTCGAAGCTTGGTTTAGCAGTCCACCATCTGATCTAAATACAGGCAGTCCTGGCTTTCAGAAAAATCATCATGGAAACAGCCGTAATACAAGTGTCGATGATTCAAAATGCAGAGTCTGAATCGGTGGGTGATGTTACAGTGACTTTGTTTTTCTTTTAGATACAGTATGGATATCAGTGCCATTATAGATTGTGGTTATATTTCAGATTGTTGTAGACCATCAAAGGTTGTTTTTAATGTCAACACTTCATATGGGGCGATTGTGGCTCAAGAGTTGGCAGTTTGTCTTGTAATCGGAAGGTTGCCGGTTCGAGCCCCGGCTCAGACAGTCTCGGTCGTTGTGTCCTTGGGCAAGACACTTTACCCGTTGCCTACTGGTGGTGGTCAGAGGGCCCGGTGGCGCCAGTGTCCGGCAGCCTCGCCTCTGTCAGTGCGCCCCAGGGTGGCTGTGGCTACAATGTAGCTTGCCATCACCAGTGTGTGAATGTGTGTGTGAATGGGTGGATGACTGGTTGTGTAAAGCGCTTTGGGGTCCTTAGGGACTAGTAAAGCGCTATATAAATATAGGCCATTTACCATTTCATTTATTCTTTGCCCCGAGTCAGATCTATATATGACACAGTGATGAGAGTGGAGATAAATGCTGTGTGAAACAGCCATTGGAGCCTTAGCGTCACGTTGATGTTCTTCCTGGAGCCTCTCCGAAAACCGTTTCTGCTGTCATTCAATTTGTTGAACAGTAACTCCTAAGGGGTGTGTTGCATTTTATTGCTTTTATTTTCAAAAGTATAAATTCTTGCTAGTACAGGCTGTGCTTTGAAACCATAGAAACACTGCCCCCTACAGTACTCGTGTAACCTTTCACAATATATGCACCATGCAGAGGACAGAACAGCTAAAATCATGAGTCATTTATCATGAAATACAGGAAGTTAAACCTGTATCTTGTATTATGGTGTTTTACTTTCCCAGTGTAAACAGTCTTCTGTCCTGTGATATGGTAACTCTGTATTTGACCTAGTTCATGAAGCTGCAGCCTGTCATGTAGTGACATTAGCCCTGTATCATTACAGGTGTTTGTATAATGAAAAGACAAACCCGACCTTCACACACTCGGTACACTGGATTCTGTTATGATTATGCTGATTTAGTCAGTTGTTAAGATGTTGTTGAGATGCAACATAATAGCTAGAGGTGAAATTTGATTTTTGGAAATGTTTGCCATCATCTGGTTTGTTACCACAGTGTTTCCAAACACCATGTGGTCTTCTGTCCTTTGCAATTAAAACAATATTTCTGCATTCAGACATTCTGAGAGAATAAGCATCTGCTCTCAGCGGGTTACGAGACACTGCCAGTACAGTCGGTTTTAGTTCAGTCACCAACTCTGCATGTCATTTTTTTGCATTCATTGAAGTGCACGGTGTTCCAGACATAATAAGCACCAAATGAAAGAAAATTTAAAAAAAAAAAGTATATGCAAGCACTGCTGAATTGACCTTTTTGTTAGTTGCCGAATAAGTAAAGTAAGTGTGTGTGTGTGTGTGTGTGGTTTCTAAACATTAATTTTAACAAACTTCATCATCAAACAAATCATCATCTTTTCACCGCCCATGAACTCTGGTCTCCAGTATTTGTCAGTCCCAGTATCAATGATTGCATTCTGTGAAGACATGCCCTCACTGTGCCTCCGACTGACTAGTGTGTATTGGTACAGTTAGATGGTTGGGATAAGGCAGAATGGAAGACTGTCTTCACGAAATGTGAGAGAGGAAAATAACTAATGCTGTGTGCTGTGACACAGAGAGCAGAGAACGTAAGCTCTGTTCCCAAAATGGAGAAACTTTTTATTAAGCAGGCTTTTGATATTTACTCACTAAATGAAGAGTTCAGTAAGAATTGAAGTTATTAGTTACTGCATTAAATTTATTTACTTTAGTCCATTATTTAATGTCACTATTAACAATAGCAACTGTTTTAGATGAATTGTTAAGAAATTACTACTTTTACTACTATATACAAGTCTTTGACTTCCTGGAACCAGAATGTGTTTATTTGTTGAATCATTATTAATTTAAGTTTGAGTTTTGTTTATTCTTATATAAATTCTCAGGATTGTTTTACTTGAAAAATGTTGTGAACTCCATTTGTGTTCCTAAGTGGTTAAGGTTTGACAAAAAGCAGAAATAACAAATGAACACATTTCCTAACACATTGGTCATATGACCAAGGATATTTGGTCATAGCACTTATGAAATATAAATGAACATACTTGGATCTTTTTCAGCACATATTCTAAATAAAATAAAACGGTTACTTATTCGTGAGGGAAATTGAGCTCAAAAACAGCATATCATTTCTGAGTGTACTGTTTTGATCCTCTTCATGTTTCTTAGTCATGTTCTTCTCTTATTTCTCCACAGAAAGCGTTATGAGAGGGCAGAAGCTGAATACGTGATAGCCAAGCTGGACCTTCACAAGAAAACGGAGGTGAAGGAACAGCTGACGGAGCATCTCTGCGCCATCATCCAGCAAAATGAACTGCGCAAAGCCCACAAGCTGGAGGAACTGATGCAGCAGCTACAGCTTCAGGCTTCTGAAGAGGAGCTGGAGAGGCAAAAGGAAGAGGAGAGGAGAAACTTAGAGGTGCAGAAAGACGTGGAAAAGGAAAATGGCTCTGTGGAGAGTCAAGAGGTAAAGGTGGAATCAACTAAAAATTGTGGACCTAAGGAGAAAGAGACTGTGAAGGAAGAGACTGGAGATTCTGAGCAAGACTGTAAAACACTAGAAAACTGTCTTCAGAGTGAATCTGTGGCCGTGTCGTGAGGCAATCTTAATCTGTTATGTGCTCTATAAATATCTGTTATATACTGATGGGTGACAAATTGTACAAAGATGTTGTATCAAGTGTCTGTATCAAGGTGTTGACCATCACATGTGGACAGAACAGCTGATGAGATTGTGGCGATCACTGCCACACCTCAGTCTAAAATGTAATGACTGTTGAGGCCAGAGCACACGAGTCACGTCATTGTTACCATCTTGTTAAACATGGCATTTGCATCAAATAACTTTGTACTGTAACTATGACAGAAAATTATTCCCCACAGCATAGTATGCCTGTTTAAAATCATTACTTATTTTATTTTTTTAAATTACAACTTTACACTGACAAGACAGACTGATCGCTAGCAAAGCATCGTTTCCAGATCGACGAAGGGGAGGGAGAAAAAAGACACAATACAAAGCGAAAAACACTTACAACATGATTCTCCAGCTGAGAAGTTTCCCATGTTGGCATCCTTGACAGCCTTGGTTAATACAGAAGAAGCATCGTTATGTTTTGGGTTGTATTTTTGTTTTAAAAAGTCGCAGCTCATAGAAAGCTGTATGTTACTAACACGATTGGTTAGTCTGAAAAACTCATGTAGCGAAAGCTCACAGAGAACATCTGGTCTGATTTCTGGTGTTATGTGTTTCACACATTTTCTTTTTATTATTATTATTTGTGAGGCTGCTTCTATTTAATTGTTTAAACATTGGGAACTTTACCTCCTTTTGTTAAATAAAGAGTTTGTAGAATATTAATATATCGGGCTTGAGAAACATGAGTACTGTATCCCCGCTGGCTTTGAGTGAAATATTTAAAGCAATAGACTGGCCAGAGTCGTGTTCAGTTGCTGGGTAAATCGAAGGGTATCTTGTAGCTGTTATCTTCAGGTGTGCACTTTTATGTTTGTGTGTGCTTAAAAAGCAAAGTCCTCTTCTTCCAAACATGGTTTTCCATCACATCTCTGAGCATGGGTCGAATTCAGAAGATGAGTGTTTTTGATTGTTGTGTCTTTGTTGTAAAAGTGGAAGGACTGGTTGTGTTTACTTTGCAGAAAGCCGGCGTTTCATGCATATGGAGTGAGGCATTAATCATTAATCCCTTTCTGTTCTGAATACAAACTGTCGTGACTTATGTGTTGTAGATGACGCTATTTGCTGGTGCTGGGCTTGTATTTCACAAAGCTAGAACTCTTGTCAGTTCAGCTAAGGAGCAGTGGGCTTGCACGGTAAGGTGATATCTGTTAATGTATGCTCTCAGCTGCATGTGTTTCTGCATACTCCAAGCTTATCTTTTCTCTTAGCGTACATTTTTGACAGCGTGTCAGAAAAGGTATAAGAATCTAATGTAAATGTAAATCTATGTAAGTGAAAATGACCAAAGTCTGATTCATTTGTGTGTTCAGAAAATGCATAAAGGCTATTTAAATGGGGTAAAAAAAATATTTTAAAACATCATATTTTAGAGATGTACAAAAGGGTAATATTTTACTAAAATAAACTTTTTTTAAATTGAAAATATCCATTTGTATTGTCTTTGCGTTCATCTTTTTTGGTAGAAGGTTATCTACAGAACTGAAGCTTGCTGTGTGGGAAGGAATTTACAATGTGACCACTTTGGGTCTCCAATCGCTTTCTCAAAGTTTTTCAAAGTGCAGTGTTTTTGTATACTGCTTTGAGATTTTACAGCTCCCCGGTCACATCTGGCTGTCTGAAGGGGAGACCGTAAAAGCAGCTTTTTAATTAGTCGGAAGGTTTAAGTTCACAGAAGGAGAGTGACCACCGTCCGTCTGTCCCTGTAGAACCTCTAGGATTCTGTTCCCAATTACCCAAATGAACTAAAACAGATTATTATGTCATTTTTTTTGAGCATCCATTTAAAAATAAAATGTAATCTAGTGCACTCTCATATAGGCTACATAACTCGGCTATTTTGAATTGTGCATTTCAGGAGTATTGTAATTTTATGCAGCTTCATACCTCTATACTGATCTTTATACTATATTTAAGAGGAAAACATTGTCATTTTTAATCCACATAAGTGACTCCCCTGATTCACACTATGTACACATAAAAATGTCTGTCATGTCACTTTGGTCTGCAGTAGAATCTTGAATATCCTTAAAGTAGTGTTTTCAAAGTTAATCGCTAAGATAAATACCGTTTTCAAATATGTCCTAAGTCACAGCTCTTTATCTGTAAAACATTCTGAACTGACTCTTACAGACTTTAGAAATGTAGCTCAACTTGGACCGGCTGCATCATTAAATGCTGCTTCCATCTATGAGTAGCTGTGGCAACATGAGAGGGTTGGTTAGTCTGAAACGCTGTCACATACCAAAAGCTTGCAAAAAACATCCGGTCTGATTTGTAGTTTGTGTAGTCACTCAGTCAGATCGTTTGATCTTTCCAGGGTGAGTATTTCACACAAGTAAAAATGACATAAATAACCAGAATATACAGTAACTTTAGCAGCATGAATGCAACCATTTGGCATGCAATGCACAAGTCAGATTTAGATGACTTTATAATATCCACTTGCTCTGTGTACTGAAGGAATCACAGCACAAATATGACCCTAGTTTAGTCACACACAGAAACATGAGAATCGGAGCACACCTGACACAAACACGGTCCCTGTAGAATCATGACTGTTTTTAATTCCTGCCCTTCCATCTTTTAACTAATATTCAATAAGTTTTGCACTAGAAAGCAACTATTTGATTAAAAAAAATATGTATGTTAACACGGCAAAATACTTTTGTTTTCAGCTATTTTATTTTATTCTGCGGCTGCTTTTATTAACGTTTCTTCTATTTTTATTGACAATATTAGACTTTACATTCTCCCATATGCTCAAAAATAATATTGTTTATTCTGCATTCGATTCATCACTGCTGCAGTTTTACTCTAAAATTGTTGCAGTCCTTCCAGATAACTCCGAAGGGGACTCCCTGTGAAAGGAAATGTGTTCTAAATTATGACAAAGAAAAATGAGAAGATACAGGCAGCGCAGATTAAGGCATCCAACGGGGCTTCAATCTACAGCAATCGCTTGTACATTGGAAATACATGTGTGTATGTGTGTGAGAGAGTGTGTGTGTTGGGTCCTGAGTCGGACTTCAGAGAGCAGAGGGTTTATAAAGTAAAGTGTGATTTATGTGGCGCTGCCGTCCCTCGACAGGTCGAGAAAGACCCTGAAACCCGAGAAGTCCGGCAGCCACAGAGAAACGGGGGGTGGGGGGAAATCAAGTTTTCTTAAAAATATCAGCCATCTGGACGAGCCGGACTTCACCTCCACGCAGAGTGAACTCTGAACTCAACCTCAGTACCACGGCACAAGATAAGCATGTGTGCCATCAACGTTTTTGAGCGGAAACGGTGTTTTATACGGGATCTCCTCCTTATTCTGTTAACGGTCTGCTCTGGAAATTAAGAAACTAACCAGTAAATGAAACAAATGTCACTTCTGTTTCTGATTGAATTTTAAATACTTGAGCCGAATTAATGCTCAGGATCCCGCCAGTAGATTCAATCTTTGTAAATGTGAACTATAGAGTTGAAATCGTGCCGTGCCTGTTTCAGCTACACTTTCAAAGAAATCTTTCGACAAGGCTGTTTTACTTTAAAAGGAAAAGAAATTTATTTCAGGGGAGAAAGAAATAAAAATAAACTCATTTATTAAAACAAATAGTCATATGCATTTATATATCAAATGAAATTAGTCACCCTAACTTTAAACAAAGACGAATTAAATCTTAAACACATAAATATCGGACCCAAGACTTTATGAGGAAAAGTAGTTATTTATTTACACAGTATGTCTTATGATGATGAGTTCTAAAGAGTCCCTGGTTGCAGGCTGTTCCGAGCGGTTTCTGGGGCTTTGTAATAATGAGAATCAGCGCGGCCGAATTAATCTCACACGGCCACTTGTTCTGTAAACTCTCCGTGTTGTTTTAATCAGGAGCAGATTTGCTTTTTTATGTCGGAACACCACAGACCGTTTACAGTTACAACAGTGCTGCATGTGAGCCGCCTGCAACAATGGAGAGAGCAGCGGAACAAAACCAGTCATAAAATATAAAGAGGGGACACATACATGAAGTACATTTACTCGCAATTACGCGCAATTACTGTTACACCGCGTTTATCTGACAGCTGGAGTTACTTTGCACATTCCAAATGGAGATAAAGTTATTGTATATGCCTGTTTGTGCGCGAACGTCTTTTATCGCCATCAAAGTTTGGAATATTCTATATTTTCATACAAAGCTCGCGGTTTTTGCCGTCTGTTCCTCACTAGGCACTTTATGTTGTATAGTTGTGTTTTTTATTTTTATTTAAACACATTGCTTATTTAAGCAATATTATCCATTCGTGATCTCATAATAGGAAAATCAGCATTACGACATATAAACGCATAAATGAATAGAATTCGTGAAGTTCAGCCTAGTAGGCCTAAATGTTATGTTTTGAAATGCAATATCAGAAGTACACGAGCAAATAACACATTTTCCTTACTTTCTGTGCGCTTAAGACGATAACAAGGTCAGATGATTTGCACAGTTCTGGGGTCTTTGGTTATTGATCTATCGCCATTCCTACTTAAACCCCGATAGCTGTCTCTGAAAACTGGAATCAGTTTAGAATCTGTGTGGGAGAGCCGCAGCGGTCGGTATGCGAGGAGAAATCCCGGTGCAGCCGCTGCAATCAGGCGGCGTGCAGGGGGTGGGCGTGTGTGCAACATATGGTTCCCTGCACAGGATGTAAAGAGTCAACAAGGAGGCCATTTACTCCCAATTAGGGAAATAAAACAGGACAGGGGCCAAAACGCTACTCCAATCAGCACCAGGGGTCACTGGACAGCGGCGGCGGCGGGCCGAGCCCCTCATCATCATCATCATCCTCAGCCCGGGGCCAAGGCTACACAGAGGGACTGAGCTAATGCACAATGAGCAGACAAAGAAAACACATTACGACCAAGAGGGAGGTTTTGGTTTAAATCTGTATATTTTGACTGGCAAGTAGTGGAAGAAGTGCAATGACAGAATACAGTATTAATATTATTACTGCGCATTCTAAGTACATGTTGCAGAATTCACACAGTGCACGAGTCATTTGATCTGACTAGCTGTAACTGCTACATTTGCCTTTAAATTGTTTCTGTGCACACAAAGAGAAAACATTTGTGGAATGACACACTTATGAGACTGTCCGTTTTTGTATAAGGTGCAACATTTTCCATGTTTGATCTTCGAGTAATCCAAAAGTAGTCAGATGATCTTTTTTTGGTTGCTTATTTTAAAAACATTTCTACACTGTAAGTGACATGATGCACTGTTTTCTCCAAGTTCAATAACAATCTAATGAACTAAACAAAAGCAGCAAAGTTCAGTTTGGAGATATGACTTTAAATATAAATGGAAAATATCACAAAACCTGAAAAATAAATCCAATACACAACCAAACTAACATCAGCATATAAGTCACTGTATTTTTCTATGCCTATGTATTTACAATGCATATGCATTGTAAATATTTAGGTCGTGTCGTCTGTGAATTCTGAAAATTTATTTAATGGAATCCATCAATGTACAGCTTGCGGCTCGATTCGAACTATTATAGAAGTATAATTTCTTTTTGACATTAATTTTGGATTCTGAAAGTGGTTGTTTTAACATTAGATATTAAAAAGTTCATCAACCAGAATCTGTCAAATTTGTTCTACAGTCTGTATTTTCTTCTGTGTGGATGGAAGCCTTATAGAGTGCAGATGCAGGCTGAAAACTAACAAGTCAAACAAAAAATAGAATAGAATAGTTCAAGGGAAAGAACATGTTTAGACATGCTTCATAAAGACTTTTTTACTTTCCCTCCACCAACTGCAAAACAGTGCACACTCTAATTATCCCTCTACACACTTTCAGTTCTGACATAAAATAGAGAGTAAAGTTTCAGGAGTCTGTGATCAGGTTGCACTCAAAAATCACCAAAACCCGTTTTGTGAAACTTTGCATTAATTTATGACCATTCCTGTTTTTGGCTTGTGCACAGCCCTAAGATTTGTGAGATGCACTTTATTGAAGTTAAATCTGAGCCCAGAAGTTGCCTGTCAAACTCAAACAGATGATGTAACACATCATGTAAAAAAGCACACACACACACACACACACAAAACCACTTGAAGCTTGTAATCAACTGTTGGTTGTGATTTGGGGAATAAAGAAAGTCACATTAATGTAGAATAAATACAAAAAAGTGTTGCAACAACAACACTGAAATGGATAGCATACATTTTTTGTATTCATATGGTAATGTTAAACTTGGTTAGGCATGTTTTTTTTAAACAGTCTCATTAAAGCAGTGCTTATGTTACTGGTATGATGTGATCACAACACTTGGACTTTTCTACATCTTGGAATTCATTTATGACTGAATATTTCTGACTGTGATGACCTATGTTCCTGTTTTGGGCTGCTCTGTCAGTCTGTCAGCTATGTTAGAATGCACAGACTGATACAAAGATATTTATTGGAAACATTAAATACGTGCAAGCTATTGAATGAAGCTGAAATAAGTGGAATACTCATTTTTTTATTTCAACCATGTTATCATTTGTCTCTGAAGTGCTTTAAATGTGTTTGAGGCTTGGTGTTTTTAAGATTATGTTCTATTCATAAATTAAACCCATATATTGTAACAGCAAAATAATGTGCACAAATAAATCATTTGCAAAGTACTTTTGTGCTAACCCTGATACTGATTTCGAAACCATTTCAGCCACGTGCACAGATTTTTCCTGCTAACATCACTTCTGCAGGATGGCATATTCGTCTCAGAGATGTTTGGACATTTCGATTTGCCACAGACAAACTGTAGCAGCCAGGGCAAACAAGTCACTTTCACATTGAGCTCAGAACAAAGAATAGGGGCCCTGAATGAGAACACTGAGCTTGAGTCATGGGGAGGCCTTTTCCCCCCATTTTTCATTCTTTCTTTTTTTTTTTCTTCTTCTTCTTCTTTTTTTCCCTTAGCTGGCACCAGAATCGACTTGTAGCCATGAAAAGCGAATCTGGGGGAAAGCTAATGATGAAAAAGTCTACTCTATCCCTGTGCCTTCATTAAATACATGGAAAGAGCGAGCGAGGCACATCTGGATTCAATCGGTGGCCCTTTGATGGCATCAAGTGTTCTTTTCCCAGATCAGGGGCTGGAAGCTACAGGACGTCTATGGCACCTCAGAGCCTAGAGTCAACTCTTGCCATCTGAATACATGACCCCACTGCCATAACTGGGTGGCTGTGGTTCGTGAGGTAGCGCAGGTTATCTACGAATCGGAAGCTAAGCAGTTCAATTCCTCCCCCCCCCCTCACA